GAGCACATGTGGGGCCTGCAGGGCTGCCTCGCGCTCCGCAGCCAGGTCCAGGTCCTGCTGCGCGAGGTGCGCACGCAGCTGCCGGATCTCAAACTGCAAGAGGAGAAAGGGCGGGTGGGGTCACAGCCTGATGTCTGGGTCAAAGGGGGTGGGCTGCTCACCCCAAGGCGCTGCTTAGCCGTCCCCCAACACTCCCAGCAAGGGCAGCCTCCACTTAGGGGCCCTCCCAAGTAGCAGCATGTGCCCCTGTGTCTCATACCCTGTGGTCTGGCCCACTACAGACAGGGCAGCCGTGGGAGGAACCACGTCCGTGGCTTGTGGGAAGACCACTGGTCTCCAGTCTGGAAAGCTGGGTTTCAATCTAGCGTGCATTACTTGCCGGGATGTGCGACCGACCCCATGGGGTGCTTGACTGGAAGGCTGACGTATTCAGGTTCCCTGCGCCCGTGGTTAGTGGAAGACAGGGCACCTCCCGGGCCCCGGGGCCCACAGACACCTCGGAACCCAGTCCCATGCGGCATCTGCTGGTGTGGTCACCGGCTCTTTAGTCTCCCAGCAGCACCCTCTTTCCTCGGTGGGAACAGCTCCAGTTGGGTGGGACTGGGCTTCAGTCTCAGCCCTGCGGCTTGCTGGTCACATCATCTTGGGCAAGGCCCTAACCCTCCCCAGCGTGGGTTCCCTAATCTGTAAAATGAGGTTTTCACCTCCTCCAGGACTTTTCTTGTGTCGTAGGGGATTTGTAAAATCTGCGTACAATTTTATTTTGTTCGTTGTTGGGGAAAGCTTCTTAGAGAAACTTCCAGATGCCTCCTGGTTTTGCGGTTGGGATGGCTGTTGACATTCCCCACCATCCCTGGGACCTGGACCTAGGGGTTTGTGTTTGACGTTGCAAGGCCACTGTTGGCTGGGTCTGGAAGGAGGGCCTCCACTGCCCCCTAGTGTTCTCAGAGCTCAGTGCATGGCTTCTGCACTGGGAGAGTGCGGAGAGAACAGGGAACAGGGCCCCAGGCCATCCCCACCCTAAGCCTCCCTGCAATATCTGACAGCCACCTCTTAACTGCCAAGATGACCACACCAGGGGGTCAGTTCATTGGGGCTGCAAACTCAGCTGGATCAAGCCCGACTTTTCACTGTCTCCCCAAACCTGCTCCATAGGCATTTTCAACTCACTCCAGCAGGAGGGAGAGATGGAGGGGATCAGACTGTGGAGTGGCCATCCCCCATGGGGAGTCCTTTCTCTTTTTCTTTCTCTCCATCAAGCGCACATGCCCTCTGGCAAAAAAAGAAAAAAAGAGGGACCAGCAGGTGGCATAATGGTTACAGTGCCATGTAACCATTTTGGTTGACTCCCACGTCGTCAGCTATGGTTCGAGTCCCAGACCCAGCAACTTAAAGCTCACGCCGGGCGCATGTGCGTATGTGCCCAAGATCCCGAGAGGAGAAGAGGAGAAGGGATTGCGGCGTGGCCATCCCCCTTGGGGGTGATGTTTCGCTTTCTGTCTCTGTCTCTCCAGCAAGCGCATGTGCCCTTTAGCAAAAAAAAAAAAAAAAAATGGCTCACTGTGTGTCTGCTAATCACTGTGGTGTAAATGCCCCCACCACCATGGCCGATTTCCAGCCAACGCAGTGTCCGGACTTGGGAAGAAATGCGCACAGTCTGCTCCCGCGAACCAGCAGGGCTCCCCCACACACTCCTCCACCCTTCGCTCCGAAGCTGTAATCTCTGTAAGTGCCGGAACCCCTCCGTTTCTGCTACACAGCAGGCACTCAGAAGGCGTGGCGGGTAAAGGAGTGCATGAGACCTGTTACCCTTGCTCGGTTCTGTGGTTTCAGGCAAAGTCCTCTCTCTAGCCACAGAGCCCCAACTCGAGCCAAGCTGAGACAAGATGGAGCCCCAGGCCAGCTCCCTGAGCGTCTGACCATGGCCACTCACCTCTGGCGCTGGTGGACCCAGCCCTCCATCTGGTCTCAGACTAGGCTCCGTTTTGGAACCACCCCACCCTCACATGGAGCCCGCAGTCTCAGGGGTGAGAAAGCGAAGCTGGCTCGTTACAGAGTGGCCTTTGGTCCAGGGGGAGAGAGCGCGAGCCCCCCAGACAGGCAGCAAGATCTCAGAGGTCGAGGAGGGCATGAGGCAACTCTCCCAAGCTCTGCTGGGCTCAGAGCCCCTCCTGCCAGGCCGTTCTGAACTTCCCAGGGGCACACCCGGACCACTTTGTCCGAGGCCACTCATGTGGGCGGGCCCGGCTAATGGCCTCCTCGGTCACTCTGGATGCATTATTGATGGCTTGTAATTGATACGGAGCTGCCCGAGCGTCCCCCCGGAATTCTGGCCAGACAGCCAGAGGCCAGGGCTGGCCCAGCCCGAGCCCGCATGTGCAGATGGAGGGACGCCCCGAGAAACAGGCTCTAAGCTGAAATATGGGCTTCGAGTGGGGGGAGTTCTCCCACTCATTCATTCATTCAGAAGTCAGGTATAGGGCGGCATAGTGGTTAAGGTACTGGACTCCCATGTGGCCACCCGCAGTTCAAGTCCCAGACTTGGCAGCTTGAAAGCCACTCCAGGTGTGTGTTCGTGTGTGCCCAAACTCCCAGGGGGAGAAGGGAGGAGAAGGGTCGCAATGTGGCCATCTCCTCTGGGGGCTGATCCTCTCACTGTCTCTCTCTGGGTGAGTGCCTTTGCCCTATGGCAAAAACCTAAAAAAGGGAAAAGTTGTCAGGCACAGCATGGCGAGCCGTGTTAGAATTCTGTCACTGTTTCGGAAGGGTAAGGCCATCTGCAGCTTCGGTGTGAGGCCTGGTGGCCGCAGCAAAGAGGGATTTTGTGCTGCCTGCAGGGAGTGAGGCTCTGAGAGGCACTGGCTGGCCCTGGGTGCCTTCGTGCAGGGAGAGGCCTGATAGGGGGCAGGGCCAGGGGCTGTGGTGAGATGTTTTAAGGACCCCGGCCTTTATTTAACGAGCACTGAGAAACCACTGAAATATTTCTTGTAGAAAGGCGGTGTGGAGGTGGCTGCAGGTTGCGATGCGTATTTGAGAGGCTCCTGCTGCCTGCAACATAGGGAATGTTCTGGATTGGCCAGGGTGGGTGTGGGAACTGGGCCAGGGAGGCTCCCACTGTGCCCCAGACCCGCCAGATGTGGGTAGGCGGAGCTGGAGGAAGGACTGAGCAGTTTAGGGGGTGAGCGTGTCCCCCATGGCGTGGGGACAGGGTGAGGGAGTGGGCAGCCTGCTGTGGGCACAGGTTTCTACAAGCCTCACTGCCAGAGGGCATGGGGTGGGCTGGGTGCTCTCAGCCTCACCCCAGCAGAACAACGCACTCCCTGGAAGGGACCCCGGCTCTGGTCGTGACAGCCCGGCATTCTCAGGCTGTTCTAGCCTGGCTCCTGGTCCTCCTGTGCCTAACTCAGCCTCCCTGCGCATTTGAAGGGGTGTCGGTAGTCCTTGGAGGCAGGGCCTCATTGGTCAGTTGGGCGAGTTGAGGCCGGAGGTGGGAAGGAGACTTCTGCACTGGGGAGAGGGAGGGAGGGCTTGGCCCACGTGCTGTGTTGGAGCAAAGCAGGGGCCAGAGCTCTGACTTCCAGCCCCCAAGACCTGGTGTCAGGGAACGTCAGCTGGGCGAGGTGAACTTGTCAGTTGGTGGCCACAGGGGCCAGGAAAGAGCAGGAGGTCCCACGGGGAGAGCAGGGCTGGAGGCAGGAGCCCTTCGCACCCTCTCTCCGACTTCGGCCAAGTCCCGCTTCCTCTCTGGGCTCAGAGTCTCCATGTGCCCAAGGAGGCAGATGGGCTTGTTGAATCCCGGTCTGTGACAGCTCCTTGCTCTGGGACAGTAGCTGGGAGGGGATGAAGCACAAGTGCCACTTAACCCTGGATGGCGCTCACGGGCCACACCCTGCCTGCTGCGGACGCGGCCCAGTCCCAGAGGACTGCCTGTTTACAGGGAAGTAGCGGCGTCCAGGGCCTGGGACAGGCGTCAGCATCACCAGGCAGCACAAGAACCAGTCAGGCAGCGAAACGGGCAAGGGCCACAGGTTATAAAAACGGACCTGCCTAAGTCCTAACTTAGATAAGGACCTCCAAGTAACTCTAATTACCATGTTAAAGAAAATAGGAGAGGGAACCAGCAGTTAGCGTAATGGCTATGTCGCTGGACTCCCATGTAGTCGACCGCGGTTTACGTCCCGGACCCGGTGGCTTAAAACTCACGCCAGGCACGTGTGTGTGCGTGCCCAAGATCCCGAGAGGAGAATGGAGGAGAAGGGACTGCGGCATGGCCATCCCCCCGGGGGGTGATTTCTCGCTTTCTGTCTCTCTGTCTGTCTCTATCTGGCGAGCGCACGTGCCCTATAGCGAAAACCTCTCAAAAAAAAAAAAAAAAAGGGCATATAAATATAAAAATTTACCTATGCAG